CCGTTATCCGCTACCCGCTATCCGCTATCCGCTGAATTTTAATCGCTGTACCAAACAGGCCCTTAATTACATCGTTTTATTACTCTGATACCAATTTTAATGAGAACCCCAAAGAAAACAATGAGACCTACAACACGACAAGGGATTTGTAAACTCTAGGAAAGCTAAATCAGGTTTATAATAGGACATTGTCCTGTTGTTTATATCGCAACAACAACCAAAGATACAAACCTTGACCCTTTGTCTATGACGCAACAAGAACCAGAGGTATAAAGTTGGTTGACGCCACACCCTTGAACGATTAAGAACAAGAATGATAAGTCAGGTTAGAACACCACAAGAATAATCTTGATAAGTTCTGTAAAGTTCTGAAACGAACCAAAGAGAAAAATCTCTCAAAATCTCATATTCAATAGCTTCCAATTAGGGTTACAAGCCCTTTAAATAGGGAAAATTCTAATTAGATTAAGAAACTAACACCTTTCGCCTTAATCCTAATAACCATGAATTGGACCTCAAATAAATGAATGTTTAGCCCAAAATAATACAAAAATGTGAAAATCACTGAAAGTAACCTAAAGTAACATGAAATATTAGTTTGTTACAAATTGCGACAGAATTGTGGGATTTTGACGCAAACTGTGTAATTTAGCATAAATGACCTCAATGAAGCTTCTCTTGAATTTGAATGATGTTTACCATGTCTTGATAATCATCCAAGTTTCGATTTACTTGTTGCATGTTGTTATCAACCCAGATCTGCTCAATAAGGCCATTTAAAGCTTCTCGCATCTTCCTAACTCTAGCTCTCATGACTGGACCTCTTGGAATCTGTAATGGATCTCTTAACGTGGTACATGTGGGGTCATCCTGATTCTGATCTTTCTCCTTTTGATGTAGGTGACAATTTGAGGACAGATCCTTTTGAGGAGAGAGGGAATGACGAGAATCAAGATGACCCCACATGTACCATGTCAAGAGATCCATTACACATTCCAAGAGTCACGAGAGTTAAAGCTAAAAAGATGCAAGAACTTTAAATGGCCTTATTGAGCAGATCTGGGTTGATAACAACATGCAACAAGTAAATCGAAGCTTGGATGATTATCAAGACATGGTAAACATCATTCAGATTCAAGAGAAGCTTAATTGAGGTCATTTATGCTAAATTACACAGTTTGCGTCAAAATCTCACAATTCTGTCGCAATTTGTAACAAACTAATATTTTATGTTCCTTTAGATTACTTTTAGTGATTTTCACATTTTTGTATTATTTTGGGCTAAACATTCATTTATTTGAGGCCCAATTTGTGGTTATTAAGATTAGGGATTAGGGTGTTAGTTTTCTATTCTGATTAGAATTATTTTTCCCTATTTAAAGGGCTTGTAACCCTAATTGGGAGCTATTGAATCTGAGATTTTGAGAGATTTTTCTTTTTGGTTCATTTCAAAACTTTACAAAACTTATCCAGATTATTCTTATGGCGTTCTAACTTGACTTATCATTCTTGTTCTTAATCGTTCCAAGATGTGGCGTCAACCAACTTTATAGTTCTGGTTCTTGTTGCATCATAGACAAAGGGTCAAGGTTTGTACCTTTGGTTCTTGTTGCAACATAAACAACGGGTCAAGGTCCTATTATAAACCTGATTTAGCTTTCTTAGAGTTTAGAAATCTCTTGTCGTGCTATGGGTCTCATTTTTCTCTTTAGGGTTCTCATCAAATTTTTTAGGGTTTTTGAAACCTAACTTAGACTACAAACTAATACGTAGTTGATTTGTTAAGTTTAGTGAGTGTGGAATCAAGTCTATTAAGCTACTAGTAGAGATAATCTTTGCTTAGCCTCTATAGTCTTTTCAGAGTTTCATTTAAATTTGTTACTCTTTGCTTTAACTTTTTGAGGTTTTTGAAGAGATGATAGTCATTTAAATCTTTAGTATTACTTATTTTTTATAAAATTTTTACTATTTTATTTATGTAATATTTGCATTACTACTCATGAAATTCTTTATCTAAAATAATTTTTCAAACGAAGTCAAGCATCATAAAATATTACAAGTAGTCTTTTGAAATAGACTTTTCTATTTAAAATATAAGAAGTTAGGTACTATCTCCCTACTATTTCTAATCTCAAGAATAATAATATTAAAGAATAATAAAACTATTTCCATGCCCACTTAGCTTTTGCATAATAAAAAAAATGAGTTAAAATTATACTCGAAAATCTTTTAGTCTAGCCTTTGGTTAAGCTTATGCTTCCTTCATCCAACTCTCAATGCCACATTCTGGCTAGCATGGGTATTTGGACATGACAAATGACTTCACTGCTACCAAAGTTTCTTTAGGGATTCTTCACATTGTTTTTGTGATGTAAATAAAAAATGATAGAAACACGAGAATTATTATAAAAAAAATGTTTTTATTTTTTAGAAGAGAAAGGGACAGTCCCTTTCCTTATGAAGGGTGTTTACAGATCCATGGTGGAAGGCTCTCAAGTAAGGTACTTGGAAGTTAAAATGCCCGATACCAGTTATAGCTTATAGGTCGCTTTTTATAACGCTCCTTGGAATATTTTCTTTCATCATTGCTAACGTTTAGAGTTTACATTATTATCTAATGGTTCAGACTTACTTTTTACTTTTGCTAAAGTAGATTACATAGACTTTTGCTGACACTCTTCTTTCTCTTTAGTGATGTAAAAGCTTATGTCTTTTTGCATTAGATTCTTCAAAGAATGAAGAGATCCTCTTCATTGTTTAAGGCAATGGTCCCTTCATCACATGCTACTTCTTTTCCTTTTGCAAATTCTTTCTAGTAGCAAAAACAGTAATGATTGTCGTGCTTTAACAGATTGTATGGTCTATTATGAACTATTTTATTAGTTGGGACTAGATTTTCAAAGATTTCTTTTCTTTTCTTTTCTTTTCTACTTTATTTTCAATAGGTTGATACTTGTCATTAATCTTGCTCTAGTGGATATCACTAAAATTTCATTGGAGAAGCCATAAGTCCATGTCTTCCTCATATCTATCATTATGTCAAACGTCTAGAGTAAAACCTTGAATTCTAGAGCTCTTCTTTCTTGGATCAACTTAATTCCACAAAGAGATTTCTTTAAAATGTTGGAATTTTTTATTTTCATTTGCTTCTAGGTTAATCTTCTTAGATTGAATTCTAATTTGAACTATATAGTGACTAGGAAAATATTGAGACTTCTCCCATTTTGGTGTTGTAGAGTAGATATTGACAAATATTATTCCTTGAGCTTTGGTGCTAGTTTTGAAGTCTTTTACTCATTAGTGTATAACTTCTAAAAGTTTTGAAACCTCCTCATTATTTTTTGAGAGATAAATACTATTTACAAACCCATAACAGAATAATTCTTTTAATGCTTTTAGGTTTGCACTCTACATATAATTAATTCTAGGATAAATCCCTTCATGAATAGCATGGCAATTCTCAATGGACCTCATTGAATATACCATTTTACAGACTCTACGATAGTCTTGTAAATATTCTTCACTCATTATCATTTTTTACAATGTGTCTATTATTGTAACTTTCTATTCTTTCTTTCCTGATTAATCAAGTCAAAAGTTATAATTTTCAGCATTTTAGAAAATCGGCTTTTTAGCTTGAGATATTGATATTTCTAAAGGAAAGTATTTAACATAATAGTCAAATTTCCTTGAACTTTCTTCAAGTAACCCTACTGAAGGATCACCTTATTCAAAAGTTTCTTTAGCTCTTATTGGAAGCTTTTCTTTGCCATTTGCCTAGATTCGCTAGAACTAATTTAACAATAATAATTACTTTAGAACTCATTAATTTCTCTATCAACTCTTTGACTTCTTCAAGGGCATCTTGTCCCTTATTTAATAATTCA